CTCCCTCTTCCTCCTCCTCCCTCCTGCTCCTGCTCCCCCCTCCCTCTTCCTCCTCCTCCCTCCTGCTCCTGCTCCCCTGCTCCTGCTCCCCCGCTCCTGCTCCCCCTCCTGCTCCTCCCTGGACCGGGTCAACCTCAGAGCGAGGGGAGTGGAAGAAAGTCCTCAAGGAAGGAGGGGCGGCTTAGTCAGTTCCCAGTTCTGTGCAGAGACAGCCTGCTACTGACGCTAAACCAGAGTTCTTCACACTGGGACAGCAGGGAGCCAGCGGGGGAGCTGGGCCGACTCACAGGTGGTGCTGGCTGGTAAGCCTCGGCCTGCACTGTGCTGGGCGCTGTGGTGTTACAGGTGAATCCCACACCAGCTGTCATTTCAAGGGGATCATTAACTGGTGGCAAAGAGAAACTGCTGAAAGGCTCAAGATGTGGGCTGTAGGGATGACTGGAATGCAGGGAAATACACCGGGGGTGCCAGGGAACATTTATCAAAGGAGATGGGGTCTTGCAAGAAGATTGGACATAACCCAAGTGCAGGGATAAGTGGGGGACACGCTTCCCAGAAGAAGGAAAGACATGGGGCAGGGGCAACAGCCCGCTGAGTTGGGGAACAGAAAAGGATTCTGGGTAGCCAATCTGGGGCCTTTAGGGCAGGACAAGGGTAATGAATAGGCTGGGAGGTGGGCAGAGCCCAGGTGGAGGGGAAGTTCCAGTGAAGAGTCTGATGCTCTGATTTGGGCTGTGGGGTGGTGGGATGGAGGGATTTGGGGGAAAGGCCATTCTGGAGATATGGACAGTAGGCTGCGGGAGAGAGAGCAGCAGACACTGGGTAAACGGCCTCCGCAAGAGGTGAAGTCTCAGAGCAAAACAATCTGAGGAGAGGAGAGGAGAGAGGCTAGGTGTGAGGGAGGCAGGATGTGGGCACACACTGTGTGGGGTGAGGTGTGAGTCAGGGTTAGTACGGGTATCTGAGTAACTATTTGTTTATTTTTATTTTTGGATCCAGAGATCAACTCAGGACCTTGGGCTTTATAGGCAGGTGCTGTGCCACTGAGCTAAATCCCCAGCCCTTATCTATCTATCATCTATCTATCTATTTATTTATTGTTTGTTTGTTTGTTTGAAACAGGGTCTTGGTATGTAGCCCAGGCTGGCCTAGAACTTGTGGCGATCCTCCTGCCTCAGCCTCTCAAGTGCTCAGATTACAGGCCTGTGCCACCAAGCCTGGTTCCTTGGTAACTTTAATCTCAACTCTGATCCCTCTCTTGTATGCTCCACTCCTCTCCCTTGGCCAGCCCTCTTCTACAGAGGTTACTAAAGTGGAAAATCATGTATCATATTTCAGCAACAGTTTTCTCCCCACCTCCCAAGACATCAGAGAAAGCAGCATCAGAACTTGGGTGGATCCCTCGAATACACTGTGCCTAATGTTCACATCTATAAAACGAGGACAAGAATATTTGCCTTACAGGATTGTTGGGTGGGTTAATAAGTTGACATGCCCTGGCACATGGATGTCTGGCCATGTGAGCTTGTATCCCCACCCAGCCCTAGACCTCTCCATGCATTGGTTGGGCACTGTCTCCTGCACAGATGCAGGGTGTCAGAGGCACCAAGACAGTAACACAAAGATGTTCTGGAGAAGTTGTCATTTCAGGAGCAAAGCCTTGTGCCCCACTGGGGGAAACCTAGTTGATAATAACAACCGACACGTCAAGAGCACTCACTGCATGTCCATGTCATCTGAGTGCTTCATATCCGGTAATTTCTTGGACCATCACCCACTACTCTTAATTACATTTTACAGATGAGGAAACTGAGACACAAAGAGTTTTAGTAACTGTTCCTCAATCACCCGTAAATAGGTGGTAAAGTCAGGCTCTGATTCAGATATGAACTCTACGACCTACCATCGTAAGCATATGCTATGCTAGAAATTTCCAGTCCCAAATGTCAGAGAGGGAAAAATCATTCTGGTTGTAGCCCAGAGAACTCTCTAAGGGTTTCTGCTTGGTAAAAACCAGTTCTCCTCGCCTCTCCCTTCCAGATTCTCATACCAGTACCCTCACCACCTCATCGCTCTCTTCTCTTCTCTACTCAGGACCCCTAAGTCTGAGCACTCAGAGCTGGCTGCTGTGACCAGGCCAGAAGACTGAGGCTACAGGCTACCCAGCCCTGCCTCACCCACCCCCAGAGCTGTTCTTTGTGTGGAGAGAGTGATTTTTGCACCAGGCCTGTCCCTCTCTGAGGTGCCCTCAGGTTTGTACAGCATCAGTGTGTGTGTGCGTGTGTGTGTGTGAGTGAGGCTGGCTCCCCTCCATGCCCTCTCTAGGATCCTCCTCCTCCATACCAGCCATGAACATGGTCTCGGGTGCTGATCCTGATGCCCTGAGGCAGCAGAGGAGCACAGAGGCCCACACATGGGCTCTGAGGCTGGTCTCTGAAAGAACCTCACAGAGGCCAGGGGCTGCCCCTGTGTCCTAGAGCTGCCGCAGGCCCTCCTTGCTTTAGTCCTGAAGATGTCTTTCTCTTCTGGCCTTGGCCAGGAGATGCCTTTGCCAGAGGACAGGAGCTGAAGACGGCCTGCAGTGACCATGTGGAGACCATCCCTGACTTCCTTAACCCAGCCAGTTTAGAATGAGGAGGGCACGAGTGCGTGTGGGGAGGTCTGGGGTTGTCTTGAGCATAACCGTTTCCCAGGGAAACACTCTACCTCTTCTAAGTGCTCTCCCAGTTCCTTGAAACAGTTGCTGTATCTGAGCAGATACTAGCACCAAAGTGCTGAAAACACTTAAGGGCTCCTCTTAGCGACTTCCTTTGCAGGTTGCAGCCCAATCTTTGAAAACCTTCCCCTCAGACAGGGTGATGGAGGGGCTGCATGGATATAAATTAGAGGTAGGGGATTCTCTCTTCCTGCCTCCTGCAGCTCTTCCTGCTAAGGGTACACTGGGGTGTGTACAGCCTGTAACTACATCTCCTCTCAGGCAAATTGCTTCTCAGTGTCCCTGTCTGAGGAGCGGGACGCCTCTTCCCTTCTGCAGGGGAGACAGGGACCTTGAGGTGCCCGGCACACAGCGGACCGCAGCTCCCCTCAGGGCCAGGCTCCCGTGTGAGCTAGGAGCTGGGACCGGCAGGGCGGCGCAGGCCAGGGCCGGAGGCTGGTGGCCCTGGCCAGACGAGGCGGGGCGAGGCCCCAGGAGCTGCAGCCGCCACTGCCCGGCCCTGCGCTCCGCGCTCTGCCCAGCCCGCCCGGCCCGCCGAGCCCAGTGCTCGATTAATAATCATAAACCCCCGCTCACCCTCCTCTTAAAATTAATAACTCTGTAATTAGAGTCATTCCAGGAGCCTCCTGAGCTGCCCAGGCCGGCCGGGCCGCACCATGGGCAGGAGGCGGCGGAGGGGGGCATGTGCAGGTGCGGAATGAGAATTAAAATCGCCCTCAACGATCCAGTACACTTTTTATCAGCCATCTATCTGAGAGCCGGGCCCATTCATCATCCGAGGCAGTCTCCCTGAAAACAAGACCCATTCAGATTTTGTACAAATTATCATATTTATCATCGTCTCCAACTCCGGAGTAACATCTCGGCCAAGTGTCTGCCGCCTCTGTCTCCGGGGAGCCGCGCCGAGCGCCTTTGCCCACCCGCGACTCCCCGCCCGCCGCCTCCTCCCGCGCCCTCCTGGACTTCCAGCGACCCCACCGTGCAGCCCCAGCCCCGGGACAGCTTCTGCCCCGGATGAGGAGTTTCCCGCAACCAGCGGGGTCCCAGCTCGGTCCACCTCCTCCTGGAAGCGCGCTGCTCGCTGTGCACGGCCCCAGGATCAGGGAGGCTTCCCCAGGTCAGCCGACAAACTCTGCACCCGGCCGCTGCAGGGAGAGGCCCACAGGGTCGCAGGAGGGGGGCGTGGCCCCGGCTCCCGGCAAGCAGCGGGTCTCCACCTTTCACTGAGGTCCTCCAGCCTAGTCAGGCAAAAGGCTGCAGCCACAGCTTCTGCGGAGGATTCTGTCGCTGTGTTGCTGTGGGCCTTTGATCGGCTTAATTCCTTCATTCATCCCTCGGTTGTTAATTCAAAAACACTGCCGAGCACCTCTCTGGGTCAGCTCTGGGCTTGGCATGGGAATTCCCGTGGGGCCAGCACAGCAGCCTTTTGCCCCTGGAGGGTGCAGTCCATACAGCAGAACTTCCTGGGGTGGTGCAGGTGCCCTATCCCTGCATTGCTCCTCGTGCTGATACGAGCCATAGGTGGCCCCTGAGCACTTGAAAAGAGTCAAGTGTGGGTGGCGAACTGATGTTTCATTTTAATTAAGTTGGTTTATTTAGCATAGTTGTGGCCAGTGGCTACTGTGCTGGTCAGCACAGCTCTGGCGGGTGGGTTCGTGTTCATTTTGCTGAGCAAGGCAGGATACACGTGAAGGAACCCCATCCTTCCCGGGCTGTGGAAGGCCTGTGGTGGGGGCTCCCTTCTCCCTGTTCCAGTCACCAGTCTCTGAGCAGTATGAGAATGCAACTCGGGCTGGGGATTTAGCTCAGTGGTTCTGCCGCCTGCCTCACCTGCCTTGCCAGCACAAGTTCAAGTCCCTAGTTCAATCCCCACTACCCCCCCGCAAAAGAAAGCAACTCAACCGGGACAAATAACATGAGACCCCAAGTCCCTAAAGCAGGCTGTTGTGCAATAGAAGCATTCACTGAATACATATTTTGGTACCAGACACCATTTGCAAGTGCGCTATTATAAGTCTTACCAGGGGCCCAGATACCTGTGGGGTGAGAACAGTGGGGACGGAAACAAGGAAAGGGTTCTGGAACAACTGAACGCCTTTCCTTTCTTTACCTGTGCTGGGGACTGAGCCCAGGGCCTCGAGCTTGCTAAGTGCATGCTCTACCACTGAGCTACACACCCAGCTTGGAAATACTTCATTTTTTTTTTTTTTGGTACTGGGGATCAAACTAGGGTCCTTGCGTGTGCGCAGCAGGCTGCGAAACCACGGAGCCAAGTCCCCAGACCAGAGTTTTTTTGGTTTTGTTTTGGTGGTACTGGGTTTTTTTTTTTTTTTTTTGGTACCGGGGATTGAACTCTGGTCCTTGTGCTTGTGAGCCAGGCAGCGGAGCCACTGAGCTAAATCCCCGGCCCTTGGAAAGACTTGAAAGGATATGATTCTTCAGCTCTGGAGACAGCTGCCATGCAGAGGCAGGAGCCAGTTATATTAGTGAGATCCTCCTGCTTCAGCCTCCCAGCCTGCTGGGGGTGTGTGTGCTATTGTGCTAAGCAGTTGTCTGATTTTTTTTTTGAGACAGGGTCTCTCTATGTAGTTCAGGTTGGCCTTGCACTCACCTTGTAGCCTGGCCTGGCCTCAAACTTGTGGCAATTCTCCTGCCTCAGCCTCCCTAGTGCTGGGATTACATGTAAGTTATCTGATTTTTTTTTTTTGGTACCAGGGATCGAACTCAGGACCCTGAGCTTGCGAGGCAGGTGGCGGAACCACTGAGCCAAACCCCCGGCCCTAGTTATCTGATTTTTTAAAAAAGGGAAGCCAGAAATTTATTTAAAATTCACTGGAAATTCATTAAAAATTTCAAAATAAACCACCTAACTGTGCAGATGAAAAACAACAGATTGGCAAAGATAGTTGTTGCAGTTCTATCTGAAAGTCAGAAGTATCTTTAAAGAGACTGGAATGACTGGATTGTGTGCAACTCATCCACAGAAGGAGAAAAGTAACCCTTCCCTGCCTTCCTTACTGGGAGTTAAGAGAAGCAAAATGGAATTCGCTTCACATTGACTTATTGTGAATGCCTCGGCTCCTGGAGTCCAGGATTGACATTTAGTGGGAGGAAAGGCAGTTGTCCCTGCTGTTGGGCCTGAGACAGCCTAAGAGCAGTACCTCTGCCAGGGCCCTGGTTAAATGGCATATGTATATGACTTGGATACAACTATTCAATGGAATGCTATGTATCCTTGACTCCAAGGGAAGTAATATTATCTCTAACAATGTACATTATCTTTATTTATTTTTTATTTATTTTTGGTACCAGGGATGGAACTCGGGTCCTTGTGCTTTCGAGGCAGGCGGTGGAACTACTGAGCTAAATCCCCGGCCCTACATTATCTTTAAAATATACAGATGTGAAAAGATCTCCAAAGTAAATTAAATGAAAAAAAGCACAAAATAACATGTCATTCACATGAGAGAAAAAGGGAATACTCATGGGAACACCTGCAGAGGCTAGTTCTGTAGTGATGCACAAGAAACAGGAGTCAGTAACTGCCTCAAGGGCCAACGGTGATCCAAGAGATGCACACCTGACTGCCAGCAGCAGTTTTCCAGATTCCTTGTGGCCCTCCCTTCCTGCTTATACCTTTGTACTGTCTCATGCTCAACAGCAGGGACAACTGCCTCTTCTCCCACTAAATGTCAATCCTGGACTCCAGGAGCCGAGGGATTCACAATAAGTCAATGTGGAGCAAATTCCCTTTTGCTTCTCTTAACACCCAGTAAGGAAGGCAGGGAAGGCTTAGTGTTCTTCCTTTTGTAGATGAGGCAACTGAAGCATATGTTGTGGTACAAATCAACCCAGTCATTCCAGTATTTCTCAGCAATGCCTCCAAGGCCCTGGTCCCATAGAACCAAAGGGAAGACACCAAGCTGGAGATGGAGGAAGAAGTAACAGGAGAGCCATGGCCTTTGAGCAAAGTCTCATCCACTGGTGGCTGGGGTTCTGTGACTACAACTGTGGCTGAATGTAATTTAAAGCCTGATGTGCGCTGTCGGTTTCTGTGCACATGAACATGTATGTACTCCACCAGCTCTCAAGGCACTGAGTCCCCACTGGTCTCCCTTCTCTGATAACAACTGTGTCCTCCTGTTTAAGCCTGGACAAAGAGCAAATGAACCAAAGGATTCTCTACCTGGCCCCAGATCCTCTCAGCCTCAGGCCTGGATCCCAGCCTTAGTGCACGACTAAGGAAGGACAGCAGGTAGATACTGAGGGAGCACTGTACCTGCACCCCAGTGCATGTGTCCACGCTCATGTGGGCACATCTCAGCCTTGGGCAGGACCCAGGGCCCAGCTGGCACAGGGAGCCAGGGGCAGCCTTAGATGGCGATGGCAGATCTGGCAACTGGCTGATCAAACAGGCCTCCCTTAGGCTCCCAAGTGTCTCCTTCAAGGGATCTATCACACCAATAGATACAAAGTACTGCTAGGCACTTTGCAAGTGTTAATTTCCGACTGCTGCTGTAACAAATTACCAAAATT